CAAACTCCTTAGAGCATATCCTGCAGGGCCACTGTGAGTCAGAACCAGCTTGATAGCAGTGGCTTCCACATACACGAAGGAGCCCTGGTGTTTCAGAGATTGATTAAATGCTCCACTACTTACTGAGGGGTTAGTATTTGAACATTCCCACATGGCTCTGAGCCTGCCCCTGCCCCCACCTGCTGAATGCTCAGCACTGGCCTTGTCTTGTTCATGCCTCATGGCTTTGTGGGTAGATGTGAAGTTTATAGATGAGTAAATTGAGGCACAGAGGTGATAAGCCATGGGACATTCAGCCCAGGCCTCTCTGGTTAGAGTCAGTTCTTGTATTGAAGGTCTGGGCCCATTTTTTTTTCTTCTCTAATAAACATAGATCTTAGAGTGAACCGCTCAGTTCAAGTTTATTCTCTTTCTCCTCCTTCAAAGCAAGCACCTTTCGTTCGTTACAGCCTCAATATCCAGTTTCTAATAATTTTCCTGACTGAAAAGATTGAAATCACCCTTCTTGATGCAAGGACCTTGTAGGAGGGTTCAGAGTATTGGTGGCACTTTCTCTGTCTTATGTTCTTTTTTGCTTTACATCCTAAAATGACTTTAGACTCTAATGAGTTAGGGCCTGCCTCTCTAGGAATCCCTTAGGATAAAGATAACTGGTAGACTATATTTTTAAATTCTGTTTATCTTGGGGGGAAAGTATCAGGAGTTGGCAAAATTAGATTTACTATTCTGTTAAAACATAGATTAATTGCTTTAACTTCCATGAATGGGTCTTGGAAACAGTTGTAGTTCGATAAGACTTAGGAGATATGTTCTTGAAGTAGACAGAAAAAAGAATACATTTTAAGTGCCTTTTTGTTTTGAAAGATATTTTCTGTTTTAAAAAAATATCCCCCCAAACTTGAGTAAATAGAATGATGACTCCCTAATGTGTCTTTTTTGTAAAGTGAATTACATAAAAACAGTTTAAAGTGTCACAAATCTGTGACCTTTGTATGAAAATTTGGCATTTAGTTTGAGATTTTTGTCATGTTCATATGATAAAGTCAATGTGATGAGGCCCCAGGGAACCGGTTGGGGAAATTGAAAAAGTCTGCTAAGAGCCAGAGCTATTTAACAGAGAGGGAAGGAGGTGCTTGGAAGATAACTTTGTAGCAAATACACTACATGGTCAAGTATGGTAGTCCATACTTGTTTCTGTCAATCAAGGACAAAGCAGAGGAAATATTTTATCTAATAGGATTTTATCTAATAGGATTTTAATACCTGTGACTAACAGGTTGCAAAATGTCAAAGGATTGATTCCACTTAGGAACCCCTGGACAGTCCTAGTGACATACTTCCAAAAGATCAGCTATTGAACACCCTCTGGAGCACAGTTCTACTCTGATACACGACTTGAAGCAGCCGGAGTTAAAAGGTGGACTAAACACACTACCGTCCAGTCGTCACTAACTCACATAGCTCTTCCGAAGTTTCTGAGGCTGTAAATTGTAACTAAGGGCCATCTCCTCTTGTGTGACTTACATTCTCAGAAACTCACTGGAGGGTCAGCGGGGAGTCCTTTCCGACTCAATAGCAGTGAATGAATGAAATTAGGGGAAGACTGCTCATCATTCTCCTGAGGACCCACTGGTGGATTTGAACCTCCGCAGCCTTGGCCGTGGCAGCTACAAAGTTGAAACTGAAAGAGACTTAAGAAGACTTAGAAGCACAATTCAATGAGTGTTTGCGTTTCTTAAGCCATCCCGTAGAACCACATTTTTCGTTATAAAAAACTGAAGCTAATAATATGTTGTTGTGTACCATCAAGTCGGAACCACCTCACAGCTGATCCTGCAGTGGGTTTTTAGAGGCAGTTAATCTCCCAGGAGGAAATTGACCATCTGTCTCCGGCAGAGCAGCTGGCGGATTCAAACTGTGTGCCTTTGGGATTGCATTGCTGGACCAACAGAGCTACACACGCATGCGCACACACGTGTGCGCGCGTATGTTAATGTCATCTGATAATTCATTCTCTGTTTAAGATTTCCCCAGTTATTCCTACTATGTCTGTTTTCTTTAATTTTAAAAATTGTGTTTCAAGGCGAGCTCTGGTGGCCTGGTGACAAGAAGCTGCACTGCTATCCCAGAGGTGCGTGGTTCAAATCCACCAGATGCTCTGCTGGAGAAGGAGGAACAATCTCCTCCGGTACCAGTCTGATCTGATTTGACGGTACACACAAAAAATAATAAAATTTTAAAAAAATGTAAAAAAATTGTGTTTCAAGTGAAAGTTTACAAAGCAAATTAGCTTTTTTTATTTAACCACTTGGACAAATATTCCAATGTATCTGTTAAAGCTATTTTTAATATGATATTTAATGAGTGCTCTCAATTTTTTATTTTACAACTCCTTAATCTCTTTACTCTGGCATAGCCCACGTTGTTCCCCTGCCAGTCCCAAATGTGTTTTGTGCTATGACATTGACATGTAGAAGAAATGTTCAGCTTTCTTGAACTGTTCTGTTGATAACTTACCTGACAATTTTCTTGTTAAAGGCTTGTTAATCAAAGTTTGTTGTGGTTTTTTAAAAAACAAAATTATCAAGTATTTTCTAGTGGATATGTTGTGAGGTTGTTTTTGTAATAGCCGTAAATAGAGATATTGGTCCTAATGGCCCATTTTCAGTGAATAGTGTACTTAAAAAAAGGAAAAAAACCCACTGTGTTCACAAAATTGCTTTTAGGCAGTTGCAAAAATTTCAAGACAGTTTAGAAATAATGAAACACCAGACTTCTGTTTAAAATCGCTACCACATAGTCTTGAAAACACAGCTAACAATTTTGGTGAGCTTGTCTCCCTTCCTGTGTGCTTTTGCATTTTATTGTTTGTAAAAATTAGAGTCATCAGTGCATATTGAAGACTTTGCCATTTACTTTTTAGTTTTATTAACTATATATTGTAAATGGTGTTGGAGAATGTGGACTAGGGCTTGTTTTTTTAAGAGAGGCAGAGAGAAATTTGCACCAAGCCAGCCACATTCCTTCAGAGGCCTTAAAGGTGAGACACACCCACAATGTAAAGTGACTGGCCCAGACTTAGAAATGTGACTTGTGCCCACAGAGCAAATGTTTTTGTCTGATTGAGGCTCTGTAGCTAATGCAGGGTTTGGATCTTGACATCTTCCGCCGTGCGCTTCAGCAAGCTGAGGGAATGCGTGAGCAGTGAACATTTCAGGGGCTCTGCGTTTGAATTCTTCTGCTTTTTGTGAGGTAGGGCCCTCCCCATTCTTTCCTGCAGATATCAAGAAACCAGGTTGGCCAGCTGTGGAGGTAAACATGATACTCTGCCAACTTAGAGTGATTTAGAAATATTAATATGTTTTCCCAAGCCAAAGTCTCCAGCCTGTGCTTTAAGCCGTCATAAAACATCTACCTGTCATGCTAAGGAATGCACTGAGGGTGCCTATCAAAGACTGGCTGTGGGAGTCTCTGGGGATTGTGTCTGAGAGGTCTGGAGTACTGGAGAGGAGTAACTTAGGACTGTTGAAATCATTTTATGTTTTATTTCAAGAATTCTTACAAGTTTGATTCCTGTCTGCCCATGTGAGGCCCAGAGAATTCTGGGCTGGCAAGTAGATGAAGGGTGTGAAGGTGGGCTGTGGGTCAGCTGACTTATGGAATGCAGTTCACAGAATTAGAGATGGCCCTGTGCGGGTGAGGGCAAACAGGAAAACCTCTGGATGTTTCTGCCATTGTTGAAGGGCACAGATAAGGAGTCTCCCCTCTGGAGAGTAGTAAAGCTGCTGCTGGTGTTAATATTGTTTTGGGTGTTCACACCCCACCCCTCTTTATGTCAGTCTTGTCATCACTTTCTTTTGGTGGGGCATCAGGCCATCAGTAAATCTCATTGTTAGTGAGTTATATTATGTACAGTTTGGTGACAGGACTTTTACAACAAATATGTGTAAAGGAAGAAAAAGGATTTTAAGGTGACAATCTTGTGAAACTATTTAGATATTTGTTGGGAAGGGAAAAAAGAAACAAGTAATGGGTTTAAATGGACTAAATAATCATATACAAAATTTTAAAGTAGAGAATATTTTTAAATGACTGATGTATATTCCTTAATTTTATATTCATCCTAATGACAAAGAGGGGGGCTCTGTTGACCTAAGTAGTAAGGAACTGTGCTGCCAACCAAAGGCACATGGTTCAAATCCACCAATGACTCTATGATAGCATGATGGGCAGTCTTCTCCCATGTGACTTAGTGCCTCTGAAAACCCTTTGGAATGCTAGCTGTGGGTTGATTCTGACTTGACATTGCTTAACAACAGTAATACCAATGCTGACAAAAGTAAATAATTTTTAAAAAGTAGATAAAAAAATAGAAAAAGGAAAAGGCAGTGTCTGAAGAGTGAAAAGGAACACAAAAATATTTTAAGGTCAGGTTTAATGAGCCTTCCTTTAGCCATCTATAAAACAGGGACAAGACTTCTACATCTTTTGCTTTTTTGAGCAGAGCACTTTTTTGAGCACTTTTTTGAGTGGTAAAAAACGTGACACTGGGCAGCCATTGCTTTGAATTCTACCTTTGTCATGGAGTCTGTGCTCCCTTGGATAATTTCTTTGTTTTAGTGAACCTCCATTTCCTCAGTTGTAAAGGGCATTTTGGAGGAGCTCTGGTGGTGATGTCATTAACTGGAGCATTTAGGCACTAACCAGAGAGTCAACAGTTTGAACCTACAGGAGACTGTCAGGAGAAAGCTGTGGCTGCCTGCTTCCATAAAGATTTAACAGCCTTGGAAACTCCGAGAGGCAGCTCTCTCTCACATAGAGTTGGAATTGACTCACCAGTGTGAGATGGTAGAGTGCATGGGCTCAGCACAGACCCTTAGGAGCTGGAGCTTGCTGCTGCTTGAATTGAATGTTCATCAGCCAGGATGTGTGGGCTGTTGGTGCTGTGCTGTCTACAGCATCCGTTCTAGCTAATGACCATGCTGCTTTTTTCCCTTTCTAGCTGCCCTCCAGACCGCCCCACTGGGCATGGACACCCATTCCCACATCTGGAGGCACATGGTCAATAGTGGACTCACCCAGTCCCGAACCTGCTAAGGACATCTCAGGGACGTGAGCGCTGAGACGGGAAGGCTGCGCCCGAGGGCCGCCACAGAACCATGCCTTTCGGTCTGAAACTCCGCCGAACACGGCGCTACAACGTTCTCAGCAAGAACTGCTTTGTCACCCGGATCCGCCTGTTGGACAGCAATGTCATTGAGTGCACGCTGTCCGTGGAGAGCACGGGCCAGGAGTGCCTGGAGGCTGTGGCGCAGAGGCTGGAGCTGCGGGAGGTAAGGCTTTGTGGGTTTCTGAGAGCACGCGCCTGTGTAGTTGGGGAGAGTTGTGTGAGGGAGAACTCACTGGATGAACCAACCATCTGTCTCTTGGCACCTGCTACGTTTTGCAGTCCAAGTGATGCATTTATAAGAATCTTGTTATTCTTAGCATGGCATTACTCTTCCCTGTGGCTCAGGAGATATCCCTTGAAGTTGTGAGAAGGCCATGACGGAGAGCTTGGTTTCAGTGGTGACTTCTCTTAAGTTTTAGCTGGTGGGAAGGGTCTATGAGTAGTTAAAATGAGAGACTCTCTCCTCCAAAGTAATTTGTTTTCTTTAAAATAACCAGTGAGTCACTGGCATTTTGGCATCTGGCTGCCTGTCAAGGAGAAAACTCCCACACAGGGGATAGATGCAGCTGCTTTCTATTTGTTTGTTTCTATATTTTCCTCTTTTAAAAGAAAGACATAACAGAAAATGAGCACGGTCAGTGTGGGCTTTGGTGGGAACGTGTGAAGTGTTGGTTTTATTCCTTTTATGACTTCTTGTGGCTCTGACTTTCTTTGTACTGTGCACAAAGCTTTAGACAGTCATAAGGTTGACCAGTTAGGACAATCACATTACCACCCTTTTGGCGACTCTGTCAGGGTGGTATGCTGCCTATAGTGAGTAACCTTGCTTTTCCCAATCTTACAGTAATTCAGGAAAAGGAACTTGGATGAGAAATAATTCACACTTGAATGGTTGCATCTTGAGAGCCATTAGGCATTGGATAGTGGGGTAATGTGGGATAGTTGGATGGTTGTAGATACCGACCCATCCATAAGGCACCAATACTCAAGCCATAAGAATAACAAGAAATGCTATGACCTTGTCTTAGGTCCTGGGTCGATAGCTCTGCTCTATAAATCAGGACGCCCGAACACAAGGCAAGTGATGCTGTTGCAGATGATTCCCTGGCCTTGTCCTCTGTCCTCCTCCCTCTGGGAGGAAGGAGCTGATCTGGGTAGGGTTTCATCCTCCCTATAACTTTTCTCCCATCCCTGCTGTCGCTAGGGGCTGACTTCATCTGGAACATGTCTCTCCCCGACTGTTCTATGTGTTTACACTTGGGCTTCAATAACCAGATCTTCCCTTGACGTTTATCTCGCCATGAGGGAGACTCTCTTGCTCCACAGGTATTCATAGCTTGAAAGGTGATGCAGTAGAATCAACATGTAAAATGTTCTGATCTTGATTTCTGGGAGCTTCTTCTCTTTTGTTTCAAAGGTACACACTATTTCTTTAATATGCAGTTGATTCCAAGTTATGGCGACCCATTGCACATCAGAGTAGAGCTGTGCCCCAGAAGGTTTTCAAAGGCTGGCTTTTGGGAAGTGTATTTCTAGTCCTTGCTTTGAAGGTGCCTCTTGAGTAAGCTTGAACCTTCAGCCTTTGAGTTAGTAGCTTAGCGCCTTAACTACTAACATCATCTAGAGTCAGGAACCTATCCCACTTCTGGAAATTTGCTATATAGAGGTGCCTTATATGTTGCCGTGATGTTGGAAACTTGCTGTACTTGTTAGGTGCTGTTGAGTTGAGTATTCCTCGTAATGACCCCATAAACAAAAGATCTGAGCCATGTTCTATCCTGTGCCATCCCCATACACAAGAACTTGCTGACACACAAGAACCCACTGGAGCAGTCACCGTATCAGTCTACCTAGCTGAGAGTCTTCCTCTCGTTCGCCGACCCTCCACTCTTCCCAAACTCATGTCATTCCTCCTAGCAACATGTCCAAAGTATGTGAGGCAAAGCCTTACCATTCTTGCCTCCAAAGAGCACTCCGGATACCTCCAAGACATATCTGTTCAGTCTCTTGGCCATCTATGGGATGTTCAGTGCTCTTCTCCAACACCACAGCTCAAAGATGTCAATTTTTTTTCTGTCATCCCTATTCATTGTCCAGGTCTCAGATGCATAGCTAGTAATCGGAAAGGCTATGACCTGAACCAGATGCACCTTAGTCCTAAAACTGACATTGCTACGTCTCAATACTTTGGAAAGGCAGATTTTCCCAGTGCAATGGATCCAATCAAGATGAAGCTGTTGACGGTTTCATTGTCCTTTCCATCCATCATGATGCTGTCCTATACCACTAATATTTGCAATTCTGGTAGGTTCACCCATGGTGGTTAAGTTTTAGTGGAGCTTTCAGAGGAAGACTGGCTAGAAAGCAGGACTAAGCATCTGCTTCTGCAACAGTGGGTCCTACTAAACCTTTGATTAGTAGTGGAGTATTGCTTTTATAGTCCTGGAAGATGGTCTCCTTGGGTTGGAAAACACTCAAAATACAAATGGAGAAGAGCTGCTTCCTCAGAGTAGAGTCTGTCTTAAAGATGTGAATGTTGTAAAGCTTTCAGTAAATGGAAGACCTTCATTTGTTGTTGTTGACAAATACCTTAGGAAAAACAGCTGCAAATACGCATTAATAATTGAGACATGGAATAGATGAAGTATGAATCTTGGAAAATTGGAAATTGACAAAATAGAAATGGAATGCACAAAGATCTAACTTTTACAGTCTGAAATTGACTGAACACATAATCAGGAAGCATTAATAATAATTTGTGAATGAAATGAATAATAACTGTTGAGTGGAATGGGAACTTTGCAAACAAGAATTAGTAGTTGAAAAATAAGGCCTTGATGGAAATGAGGTGAGGGTTTGCATGTTAGAACTTTATACAATAAACAAATTATTCATTGCAAACATAATTTTTAAAAAACCATAACACCCTATAAATAGCAACTGTAAACATAAAACTTTCCTCATAGAATACTCAAGAATAAAATAGACTACGTCTGTGAGAAGAGACTATGATGGCAAAGCTGGGTATCGTCAGTCAGAACAGGGTCAGAAGTTGACAGGAACAGACCATCAGCTGATGATATGCAAGTTCACATTCTAGCTGAATAAAATAAGTCCACAAGAGCCAAAATAGGACCTGGAATATATCCAGTCTGAATTTAGAAGTCATCACAAGAATAGGTTTGAAGCATTCAACTCTAATGACAGAAGGCCACATGAGTTGTGGCCATCTTACATGAAGAATGCAAAAGGTCATTTAAAACACATGAATGAAAGACTAAATTGATTATTGGAAGAAATTCTGTAACTTGCTTTTGAACATATAGAAGCTAAAGCAAAAGGGAGAAATAATGAAATAAAGGAGCTGAATTGAAGATTTCAGAAGGGCAGATCAAGAAGACAAAATATTATAACAAATTGTACAAAGAACTGGAATTATAAACCAAAAGGGGAAAGAACAAACAAATAACACACCAAGCAAGATCTGGGGAAAAATATTCAAGTTTCAAGTTAAAATATTGAATGATTCTTTGGACAAAATAATGAATGTTATAGAAACATCAGAGGAAGAGGGAAAGAATATACTTGTGTCAATGTACCATGCTGCCTTACAGTTTATTTGACCATACCCATTTATATTTATATTTGGAAAAGAGTAAAATAATAAACACTGACTAAGAATTAACTAAAAGTAGAGTAATGGAAAGATTTAGAATTTTTAAAATTTTGCAGTATCTTTATTTCTGTGTAAAATAAAATGTAATGTGACATCTAGTAGCTGAAGTCAGTTGTATAATGTTAGTTTGCACTCTTGTCCATGTGTTCTGGGGATAGAGGTTTTAGGTGGAACTACCCTGGACCTGTAAAAATATTCCTTTTTTTTTATATTCTGAGCAAGCTGTGCTGTCCCACACAAGAGCTTTCTTTTGGCTGTGACATTTGCTTCTTGGTCTGTTCTCCTCTGCCGTTTCTTATCCTGTCCTTTGATGGAGAGCTTGGATAGGAAAATGAAGATGATGCAGTTGTTAATTATAGACATGTCAGTTATAGAAACCCCAGACTGACCCAGAGTCTCAGCTGACTGTACACAAGTCATTTTTTTACAGTTACCTGACCAAGTTACAGTGGTTTATTTTCCAAAGGCTTTGGAATGTAGTTGCGTGCAGTGCTGGCTTTTAGTCATTTACAGCCTGCTTTTAGTCATTGTCCTGAAGTCTTTTTCATGCCTCAGTGAAACTTTACATACTTGTGGGTAACGCCTGTCTGTTTTATGTGGAGGCCTACCAACTCTGACTCTTCATTTACACCTGCAGCACTGGCTAAGGCAAGCAACCTGTTACAACCCAACACAAAGCTTTTAAAACTTTTTCTTCCAGGTGATTAGCTCTTCAAAATGCTGGAGATAAAAATCACAGACTTAATCTCTAATAACTACAAGACTGAGTCTGTAACTCTTGCAAATAGTTAACATCAAAGTATTGTCATTGGCCGTATAACTGGAAAAATGAAACCCTCAAAAAGCCTTCCTCTCTTCATGGGATGGGCCCCACCAAACCTCTTCAGGAAATACATGGATGAAGAAATAAAAACCACCCCAAATGATTTTTAACACACTTATATTACTAAGACTATTCTCATGATACCAAGAGAGAGATTTGATTTAAAAATATGCACACACTAAATAAATTAGCAGATATTTGTTCCTGCATGTATTTTTGCTTCCTTTGTTTCAAGACAAGATCTCAAACCAAGTAAACCACAGGACAGTGTCATTTTTGCTTGACTCTCTTTGCATTCTTTTCTAGTGGTGCATGTTTATTAATTATGTCAGAGAAGTGGCTCTTCTCCTCAGGAACTGGTTCTTTTGTCTTCTTTTATCATTCTGTCAATAAACTTGCAGAATCCATGCCACTGGGACACTAAGCTGTAGTTTTCTCTAGAAGACTAGCAAAAAAAAAAGGGGCTTTCTACCTTGCATTATGAAGATTCTCTGGATTTGGCATTAACTTGATGCCTTAGACAACAAAACAACTATCTTGGGCATTTATTCAGATAATAAAATGGAATAATTTTGGGCATGGTGGGGGTGGTTTCTATTTGAAATATATTCCTCAACCATAATGGGAAGAGATCCATATTTGTTCCCATTCCAAAAAAGGTGAT